ATACCTAACCTTTATTTAAATTTATACAAAATAATTGTAAATTAATTATTATAGAAATACTATTTTAAAATTTAAATTTCGTACAGAGATATTATGAAATATTTTTATTTTATATTTTATGAAAAGTAGTTTATTACATTCTCAAATGACGAGTGGCAAATTAAAATGCTACATGCTATTTTTAAACATTAAAATGTCCTAACCTTCAAACGAATTAACATAAAAAAATGTAAATTAACAATAGGATAACAAATAAATTACTTACTCTGAACTTAGTATAGAACGATTTACAAATTTATCACATAATGTTTATTTATAAATTGAAGTCACTCTTTACACACCGTACCTATACATACTAATGATAATGTAAATAAATAAAAAAGATCTGCATTTAGGTACTGTACAAGACGTTATACGACAGAATTGCCATTTAAAGTTCCAATATTTAACTGCTAAAAGAATAGATTAATTAACATCAACCAGCAGCGTGTATTTCTCGTGTTATTCTCGACATCTCTTTCTCTCTCCCTTTTCTTGGACAAAAACGCCCTACATTTCCATTTCACTAATATTATTATTATTGCGTTTCATCCGTAAAAAAATTACCATCAAGCGCGCAAAGAAGTTTCCCTTCAAAATAAAATTGTCTTCAATAAAATTGTTGAAGTCGTCGTGGCCTAAAGGATAAGACGCCCGGTGCATTCGTATCGAGCGATGCAGCGGCAATCGGATCCCGAAGGCGGGTACCAATTTTTCTAATGAAATACGTACTTAACAAATCTTCACGATTGACTTCCACGGTGAAGGAATAACATCATGTAATAAAAATCAAACTCGCAAAATTCTAATTTGCGTAATTACTGGTGGTAGGACCTCTTGTGAGTCCGCACGGGTACCTAGGCATCATCACCCTGCCTATTTCCGTCGTGAGGCAGTAATGCGTTTCGGTAACACCAGGTGGGCTGTGAGCTCGTCCACCCACCTATGCAATATGCAATAAATAAATAAAAATTATGCATAGCCTACGACATAAAACAGACAACAACAGAGACAACATAGAATCAATTTTAAACAAAAAAGGACAATCAATATAAGTTTACTTAGAAAAAAAATTAGAGGTAGAACACAAAAAAAAACGTAGTCGAATTGTGTGAACGTCACGTTTTTTTTAAATCGGCTAACAGATATTCATCCTCTCTTACACTATATCTATCTAAAAAAACAAGTCCTCGATAATAAGTAACAGCAATAACATATCGATAATAAGTAACAGCAATAACAAAAAATACGGAAACTAATTAACAAGCAGTCTAAATGTAACGGAAATCATGGTAAATGTAAAGTCAAAATACACACGTATTATCAAATACATCACGCTTCACGTGAATTGGGGATTCAATAGCGCTAATTCAAAATAGAAACGTTATTTAGCTGTAACTCAGATGTTGTTGAAACTAAATATGAATCGATTTGATCGTGATAGAAAAACGACTGTAAGTAAGTAAATAAATACAATTTCAATTTCTAAATACGAATATTGCATTTTGATGAAGACATCACTTACAGCATCGATTGCATTTGTGAAGTTTCTAGTGGATTTAATTAAGTCGCTTATAGATAATGCCATTCTGATACCCACAGCTTAGGAGTCTACTCAGATCTAGTTTCAGAAATAACTTTGTGATACCCTGCTGAAATTGTTAGATAACTTTGTCTCTGAAGCCGTTGTGGCCTAAAGGATAAGAGGACCAGTGTTCTCGTATTGAACGATGCGACAGTGCCGGTGTTCGAATCTCGCTGGCAGGTATCAAGCTTATTAATGAAGTATATCTTTAAAAATCATTCAATAACGACTTCCATGTTGAAGGAATAATAGCATCGTGTAATTTAATTTGCATACTGACTGGTGGTAACGCATCTTATGAACTAGCACGGTTAGGTAACACCACCCTGTCTATTTCTATCACGAAGCAGAAATACGTTTGAATGGTGGGCCAGCCATTGTATCGTACTATAGAACTGAGACTCAGAACTCATGTCTCGAGGTGAATGGCGGCATTAACGTTTTTATCTATGTGGGATCCGGTAACTACTTAAAACCTGATGAGCTGTGTGTTCGTTCAACCATCAAAGGAATTAAAAAAAGTAATTTAGTGTGGATGAGTGAGTATTTGTAGGAAACAGGGATAGCCTCTGCTTTAGTAGCGCTTAGTGCGATGCTAAATGACCATTCCCTAAGTACATACAGAGAGAATAAAGTGAAAACCAATGTATCCTTGAAACCCAGATTTATTTTACGATTGGGATTTTTGTGAATTATTTACAGAAATTAGCAACAGAGGACTTGAACATCACTTGAGTATTATCACATCAATCTTCACAAATACGTTACTACCCGATTAAACTCAACGGATAATTACAGGATTTTCTTATACTCCGCGCTATCAAGTCGTGCTAGTGACTTAACCTTAACTTCAGCAGGTTTTTGAAATTCTAATTCGTATTATCACCGAGACACCTCATCAATTATGTTTGTATGTAATACGTCGGTAATTTGCAAAATGCTTAACCTTGGATGCACAATGGCAATAAAAATTACTACATAGTATAAAACAAAGTCGCTTTCACTGTCCCTATATCTGTCTGTCCCTATGTATGCTTAAATCTTTAAAACTACGCAACGGATTTTGATGCAGTTTTTATAATAGATAGAGTGATTGAAGAGGAAGGTTTGTATGTATAATAACATCCATTAAATAGTGGAGAAATCAATAATAAATTACAGTTTCCGAAGAATGATATGAAGGGAGGGTGGGTCGCTAGTATATTATATATTAAGAAAACCATGGCTACGAAAATATTTTTTGGAAATGAATATTATTACGAATGGAACTTAGAAGACGAGTTCGCTGTACGATCAAACTTTTCCGAAAAAAACTTTGTACTTATAAAAGAAACAACAGTTTAAGCCTCAGTTCGTTGAAAAGAAAACGATTAATTTGCAAAACGTTGAAATACTTTGTTATTTCACAACACAAAGACCAAATTTCATAAATAAATTCAACGAAATAAAACTTTGAAGTTGAATTGTTTTAACAAATTTCAATAAGGTGAACAATTCGGTATAAGGTTTCAATTCTAGGAACTTCGACTTAATAGCCGACCGGAGTTCATAGATATAATACGACGTGAAATCGAGTAACAAATCCCCAAGTAAGAAAACTTCATTGCAATATTGTTACGATTAACCGTCTACTATGATATACCAGTAAATAGGTCTACTGTGAACCAGTGACTAGTCGTCCATGAAACACAAAACTAAAATACAAACGACAATTATTGTTAAACAAAAGCCCACGGATCTTCTCAGTTGGTGGCGATTGCGATGCGGTGATAGATTTTGCGAAGCACTGCTTTTACTAGGGCTAGTGTCGCAAATTCTCTCAGGTTGAGGCCGTGAGCTCACCTAGCCTTCCATTCCTAGCCGGAATAGCCCCTTAAGCTACCAGCGAATAGATAGGAAAAAAAACGTTAAACAAACGCCGCAAAAGTCGTTTTAATTAATGTATCTCAAACGACTTATATGATCACGTGAGTTTTTACATAAATCAATCATGATGGACTTATATTTACTTACGCTTAATAAAATGACCAAATCATAGCAATTATTCTTTAAATTTTCATCGATTTTCATTTCTTATATAAATTTATTGTCTTTTTTGTTATTTTTTTTTTTTATTTTATTTATTTATTTATTTATTTTTCCAAATGTGCAGACTAACTCACGGTCTACATGATTCGAACCATTACCTGTACGACAGTGAAGGCTTAACGTATTTCGTTTATTTTTATACCTGATTGATTACATTTATAAACTTATTTGTATATGTCTGTTTGTCGATTTATTCTTCGGGAAATCAGATAGAACCAACTGAAACAATTTTAATTAAATATTTGTGCCTTCTCACTGTTTACACTCGTACTTAAGTATTTTATGATATCGGTCATGCTTTTTGTAACGTAGGACTTTTGTTGAATCCGCAGATCATTAACTGCACCGCTATTAACTATTGGCACGTTTAAAAATTTGCTAACCTTTAAGATGCAGCTTGTACTGACGCCTAAAAAGGCTAGGCCTAAAGTCACCGTCGGCCGGTCTGATCGGCTTCAACACCTACTTCAGCGGATCGCAAGCTTTAAAAGAAAAAAAGCGCGGAAGTGTGCGTTTCTCAAATATGAACAAACTTTAAGCTTTTTTTCTGTTTGTATTATTTTAATTATATTAAAATTAATTTAAGATAATTAGGTATACGGTACTATAGATACCAAAAAATTATGAATAAACTATATTTTATCACATTTTTATTCGCGTGTGTGTGTGTGTGTTTTTTTTAATTGTGTTTTTAACTCTAAGCTACCTTTCACGCTGAAATTGTTTAAATCTCGCCTTTTTCCTTCTCTTAGAGTGGCACCGAATGAAGTCAGGAAATCATCTGTTTCTTTCACTCCACGGCAAACGCCGAGAGTCAGATATATTTCGGTGCAGTGCGATATCACTGCAAGCGATGCGATTGGCTTTGAATCTCAGTTTAAAAACTTTCCTTTGATAATTTTCAGAGAAATAAAGAAATTCATGTGAGATCCCTCCAGAAAATCGACTTTAGTCGTGTTTTTTTAGCAATTTCAGGGATTTTTAATTAGCTTCCGTTATGTTTTAGAAGACTTAAAATGAATTTGAAAATTAAAATGCATCTCGCAGCCCGCGTCATCGTCCCGCCTTCTCGACGCCTGAACCACCATGAAATTCGCGAGAGACGCTGCGCAAATTCGTTTTCAACCCTTATGCGCACACTGAACCCCCTCCCCTCGAGACTATAAAACCCACCACACCTAGCAACATCAGCACACAAATAAGCTCTCACAATTACGGTTTTACTAAAACCGTTCTGACAGCGCCACAGTTCACACGTACCTGGGCTCAGCGTAAGCAGCGCTGAGCTACGGTATTCCCGAGCGCAAACGAAGTTGTGAATTTAAAAACCCATTGATTATTTAGTCAAATTTCTTGTCTTTTAAATTCATAAAAAATTCTAAAAAAAATGTAAATAATTTTAAAATCAGTTCTATTATTAACTTTTTTAATTGTTGTATTCTGTTTGAAGAACACCGAGATCGGCGGCCTAGGTAAGTTGTGTTTAAGATATTTTCAATAGTCTTAACAACTTTTTCTAGACTTTTGTTTGCTTTTATTTCATTAAGAGGTTTTACGAGACGGCTCTGTGACAAGAAACGTTTGTTTACGGAACTTTTACGGGTTGGTTGTTAAGGAGAGTTCGACTCTCTCCGAATTTATTATTGGCGGGTCTTTAAACTGTTCTTATAGGAAAATTTATTTCGCGCGTCCGCGGGGCTGTACTCTAAAACAGGAAAACGATTGATTACCCAGCAAAAGTTTATAATATTTAAGTCGCATCACTAGGGATACTTGTTGCTGTATTTTTTTTTCTATTTCAAGAAGATTAAAAATACTATCGATACATTTTATTATAACCGCTGTAATGATGTAGGCGTAAATGATAATCGGAACAGATGCTGTTCAAAAGCTTTATGTTAAAAATATTTATACGTATCAATCAGTATAAAAGTAAATATCACAAAGAAAATTCAACATGATATAGTAATCAGTACACGACCACGTAACTTCTATTTGGAATTTATTATATGATACATAAAATACGATTTACGACTTGCTTGCACTGTCGGTTAATTACCTTTCGTCGCCTATATATAAACCGGACGACATATCTACATACTACTGTACGTCTTTACAAGAGTGAAATAATTAAAAAAAAAAGGTAAATAATGTCTCTCACATTCCCTTTGTCTCTCTCTTTCTCTTGATTCTCGCGGGAATAGCAAAGAAGATCAAAGCGATGAAAAGAATAATTACTCCGTTGATAATTACCGATGATTTGTTGGAAGTTTTATACTATTGGGTTGCTTTTTAATTGGTGTTCGAAATAAAGCTTTTTGGGCCGTCATTTGCGCATTAAGTAACATCAAATAACAGTTAGGTCAAGCATATCCGGGATGTTGAGTTTTCACAGCTTATATAGCTATTTAAACATAATTAAAAATACTTTTACGGTTTATTTTCGCTTTTTACTTTATCTTCTTTATAATATTTACGATTTTATGAAGACTGTAATGTTTCCGTGGTCACGGTCACGACTAAGGTGCTAAACCGTAAAAGTGGTTTTAATTAGATCATTTCATTTGATTGATAAAAGTGACATGAATATGTTTAGATGTAGGTATTTAGATGCTTATATCTGGCCGGAAAAACGGTATCTGCATTCAAAGAATAATTAGTTTTTAATTCAAGACAAACTAGCTGTGGGTCTAATGTGAGCCCCGCTTAGGAAATAATCTATTGCCGCAAATACGTAGAGGTCTTAGACACTATTTAGAATGTTATAATATGAAGAGTTGCTTCTCTGCACAACTAATTAAATTAATATTGACAGATATAATTTAGTATTCATTAGGAATATTAGTCTTTAGGAACAATGGTAATTTAGTAAAGGATACAGATTCCGTCGGTCTCGTGAAGGTCATTGAAGAAGAAAGAAGAAATAAAGAATTAACAAAAAAAAACGTGTTTTATTCTTATACGTGATTAGTTTAACTGCATGACGAATTGTTACCTAAAACATTTTCCTTGCAAATAATCCTCCCTTACTTGTTTGCCACGTAATCAACAGGGTTTTCAACCGAGCTTAGTTTCGTATTGTATTACGCTTTGCACTTCTTTTAGATAGACGACGCGCTCACAGCCCTGTTGATGTGAAGTGGTCACCGGTGTTCAATCACAGCTGAGAGATAGGGACACTAGAGGTTTTAATCCGTTTACTGTTATCCTATCCTGAAATCTGAAGACTTGGTCGCTTTGCCGCAGAAATGCGGAGAATGGCGGTGCCAATTGATGAACTGAAACTGAATCAGTGAACTGGTTCACTCCTGAACTGGAGTTAGGGTTAGGGTTAGAAAAATAACTCTTTGTTACTATTGAGAGATGAATGATAGGGTAATACAAAATATTATGGAGGTTGATTGATGATCTTATTTAATAAAATATTAGGGACAAAAACTGAAAAATTGTCGATGATATTAATGACGCCTCATTACTGATGGTAGGACATCTTATTATTACTGGTAAGAATTTATGCCGTAAAGTAGTAATGCGTTTCGTGTTTATGGGGCAGCCGTTGTACTGTAAAAACAGAAGCTCAAAGTGGGTAGCGGAATTTACGCTGGTGATGTTCATGGACTCTGGTAATCACTAAACATCAGGTGGAACGTGAGCTCGTCCATCCATCTAAAAAAAATTATGAATTTGAAAATTCCGCCGCATTCATAAAAGCAGTTTTTTATTGCTCAACATTTTCTTGTTGGATTAATACACGCACGCAGGGTGGACTGGGGGCCCTTCCATGCCCTGCGTCAGTCGCTCACGCAACCCGTGGTCGAGCACGTACTGTGCTCCGCGCTTTATTCAGGTATTGTCACGATTTCGCCTCGAACATCCTACCCCACCCAATCCCACTCTCCAAATAAAATAAAAAAATAATAATAATGAAAGTTCGAAAAAGGAAAAGGGTTTTGTCGGCGATTCCCCATTCCACATTTAATGTGGATTTCAGCAATGTAAGGGGTCTACATAGCAACCTCGACGCCGTACACCACCATCTTGAGACGGCGCAGCCTGCCCTCCTTTTTCTGACGGAGACGCAGATATCCGCTCCGGATGATACTTCGTACCTTGAATACCCCGGCTACGTATTGGAGCACAACTTCCTGCGTAAAGCCGGGGTGTGTGTATTCGTCCGGGCTGATGTCTGTTGTCGCCGTCTACGAAGCCTCGAACAACGGGACCTGTCCCTCTTGTGGCTGCGCGTAGATCACGGGGGTTGTACCCGAGTCTACGCGTGCCTGTACAGGTCCCACAGCAGTGATGCAGGTTCAGCTCTGATAGAGCATGTGCAAGAGGGGACTAACCGCGTGCTTGAGCAGTACCCATCTGCGGAGGTGGTGGTTCTTGGAGACTTTAACGCTCACCACCAAGAGTGGTTGGGGTCCAGAACCACTGACCTCCCGGGTCGGGCTGCCTACGATTTCGCCTTGGCCTACGGCTTCTCCCAGCTGGTGACACAGCCCACCCGTGTCCCAGATATCGAGGGGCACGAGCCTTCTTTGTTGGACCTTCTGCTGACCACAGATCCGGCCGGATACAGTGTGGTGGTCGACGCTCCGCTTGGATCGTCTGATCACTGCCTTATTCGTGCTGCCGTACCACTCTCTCGTCCTGATCGTCGAACGACGACCAGGTATCGAAGAGTTTGGCGGTATATGTCAGCAGATTGGGATGGATTGCGTGAATTTTACGCATCCTACCCATGGGGGCGGTTCTGCTTTTCCTCTGCTGATCCTGACGTCTGTGCGGACCGTCTTAAAGACGTGGTGCTCCAGGGGATGGAATTGTTTATTCCCTCCTCTGAAGTGCCCGTTGGGGGTCGCAGCAGACCCTGGTATAACAATGCCAGCAGGGATGCTGCACACCTCAAGCGGTCCGCATACGTGGCATGGGATAATGCCAGGAGACGTCGGGATCCTAACATCTCAGGGGAAAGGCGGAAATATAACGCCGCTTCCAGGTCCTACAAGAAGGTAATTGCCAAGGCGAAGTCGGAGCACGTTGCTAGAGTTGGCGAGCGATTGAAGAGCTATCCCTCCGGGAGCCGTGCTTTTTGGTCGCTCGCCAAAGCTGCAGAAGGAAACTTTTGCAGGTCTAGTCTCCCACCACTGCGCAAGTCCGATGACAATCTGGCCCACAGCGCGAAAGAGAAGGCTGACCTTCTGGTCAAACTCTTCGCCTCGAACTCGACTGTGGACGACGGGGGTGCCACACCACCGAACATCCCCCGGTGTGATAGCTCCCTGCCGGATATCTGCTTCACACAGTGTGCAGTCAGGCGGGAGCTCCGACTCCTGGACGTCCATAAGTCGAGTGGGCCAGACGGCATCCCCGCAGTGGTTTTGAAAACGTGCGCCCCTGAGCTGACACCTGCGCTAACGCGTTTGTATCGCCTCTCTTATTGCACTAACAGGGTTCCGTCTTCATGGAAGACCGCCCACGTCCACCCTATCCCCAAGAAGGGTGACCGGTCGGACCCATCGAGCTACAGGCCTATCGCGATAACTTCCTTGCTTTCCAAGGTGATGGAGCGAATTATAAATACACAACTCCTGAAGTATCTTGAAGATCGCCAGCTGATCAGTGACCGACAGTACGGTTTCCGTCACGGTCGCTCAGCTGGCGATCTTCTTGTATACCTTACTCACAGGTGGGCTGAAGCCTTGGAGAGCAAGGGCGAGGCTCTTGCTGTGAGCCTTGATATCGCGAAGGCCTTCGACAGGGTCTGGCATAGGGCACTTCTATCGAAGTTACCATCTTACGGAATCCCCGAGGGTCTCTGCAAGTGGATCGCTAGCTTTTTGGATGGGCGGAGCATCACGGTCGTTGTAGACGGTGACTGTTCTGATACCATGACCATTAACGCTGGCGTTCCACAAGGTTCGGTGCTCTCCCCCACGCTTTTCATCCTGTATATCAATGACATGCTGTCTATTGATGGCATGCATTGCTATGCAGATGACAGCACGGGGGATGCGCGATATATCGGCCATCAGAGTCTCTCTCGGAGCGTGGTGCAAGAGAGACGATCAAAACTTGTGTCTGAAGTGGAGAACTCTCTGGGGCGAGTCTCCGAATGGGGTGAATTGAACTTGGTTCAATTCAACCCGATAAAGACACAAGTTTGCGCGTTCACTGCGAAGAAGGACCCCTTTGTCATGGCGCCGCAATTCCAAGGAGTATCCCTGCAACCTTCCGAGAGTATCGGGATACTTGGGGTCGACATTTCGAGCGATGTCCAGTTTCGGAGTCATTTGGAAGGCAAAGCCAAGTTGGCGTCCAAAATGCTGGGAGTCCTCAACAGAGCGAAGCGGTACTTCACGCCTGGACAAAGACTTTTGCTTTATAAAGCACAAGTCCGGCCTCGCGTGGAGTACTGCTCCCATCTCTGGGCCGGGGCTCCCAAATACCAGCTTCTTCCATTTGACTC